CAGGAAAGAGGGAATGGTGAGAAACTAAATGCTGTCCCTCTCCCTCTGCTCCCTTTCCCCTGCTCCTGCACTACTCGCTGCCTTGCTTGGTCCTGGCCAAGTGCAAGGGTATAAGGCCTTCTCATTAACATTGGGGCTGCATCCAGCCACAGTAGCTGAGACCTCTCCTCTTCCAGAAATAACAGCAGAGCAAGGAGATTTTCCAGCCCTTTCTTATCTTGCCACCAGGGCCCACTGGTGAGGACAGGCGGGCATGAGTAGAGTGAGTCAAATACAGCACTGGGCTGTACATACGGGAACAATCCTTCACATAATGCTTTTAGATGCATCAAAGCAGCAGAAGTCAACAACTTCTGAGTCAGAAGACAATAAAGAAATAGAGAATCAAAGTCCATCTACATCAAAGGGATACTTCCAAATTCAAAGGATTAGTCACAGAGCTCGCCATATCAGGCACGCCACAGTTACTACAAATTCCCCAGATACCAGAGAGGTAGGTCCTACTTTGCACTCACTGCTCTACCAGTTAGGCCATTTGTTGGTTTTTTTCCCCCTCTCCAAAACCTGAAGATCTCTCACAGCTTCTGCTCTTGCAGGTCCTGAAGTCTCATGAGGCCATTCCCACAAATGCCACATCCTCCTTGAAATGAGGAAGTTGCTGTCACTTCTGTCCCCGCACAAAGAGGGCATCTGCTGTCAGGTCCACAGGTGCTCAACTGCTGGACAGCCTCCAGCAACCAAGACATCCCACCGTCCTTCCTCCCTTCTCCTCTGTACACACATGTTAACTCATTCCCTCATACCACACTCTTCAGTGAATACTGGGGCACACTTCTGTCTCTTGTGGCCAAACCGACGCCCCAGCTCTGCTACAGGCATGCACCCATGTTATTTTTAGGTAGGTGCAATCCTGTGCTGCTTGTGCTATGACTGGTCTGGTGGCTGCACAGCAGCTAGCGAGCACCGAGGAGGAGAGGACATGGCGCATGCGGCCTGCGCAGGCACCCATACATTGCAGCTGGGGAGCTGCTTAGCAGCAGTAGCAGGAGACAATTTTGAAAGAGGGGAACGCTGGTATCCAAACAGAAATCTGTTAGAGGAGCTCTCTATCAGAGCTGACAAATGCCTGCTAGACATGTTAATTGGCTGTTATTCATCATTCAACATGGTCTAGTGGAGGGTGTCCCTGCCCACGGCAGGGGGGTTGGAACTAGATGGTCTTTAGGGTCCCTTCCAGCCCAAACAATTCTGTCATCTCCCCTTCTAAGTACCTGGTGGGGCTCAGTGCCAGCAAAGATCTCCTTCCAGACATGATTGTAGCTCTGCTGTCCAGAGGCATGAGAAGAACTCAACTGCACACAATGTGGTTCAAACACCACTGCCGCATGCCCCTGGAGACCCTCCATCACTCTCTCTATGTCCGAGACCTTGTTTCAAATCACATCAAATACAGACAAAAGATTCATAAGGCAAACGAGTCAGCGTGCCAGACCCCATCCCGTGGTGAGTCAAGGTCAATTCAGAGCATCCAGTGAGGGAGCCTCCACAGCACCACTTGTTACTGCTTCTCCTTCATTTGGGAAAGTTGTCTGCTGTCCCCTCTCCAAGGTGAAAATGTAGAAATGGACTTGCCTCACAGCATATGGAGGGAATACACCACACAAGAAAGAATACAGAAGCACTTTCTTTGAAACTGAGATTTATGGAAAAGAGGGACTACTGGCCAATCCTCTCTCTCCTTTCCTGTTATCACCTCACCCTTAAGGAGGTGTACATGTTTCTTGACCAAAACCAAACATATTGTATTTGGTGAACAAGCCACTGTGGAAAAAAACAAGCATCTTTTTTTCATTGTCTCGATAAGCTGCAAAGCCATTTTTACTTTTGTTAGTGGTGATGATGGCTTTCGCCCAAGCTTTTCAGAAAAATTACATGCTGTGGCAAGATTTGAAAGAGTGGTTTCTTTGTTAAATATCTGGCATGGGGAAAAGGTCTGAAAACTGGGATCACAAAAGAAATCTTATTTCAGCTCTAAATAATAAAAAGAAGACCATAAATGGCTAAACCTTCTAGAAGTATCATCAAACCCAAATCTATTCAATTATTTAAAATATTGTAAAGACAACTTCAGCTGCAAAGTCTATACATCTACTTTCTGATTTCTGCAATTTAAAAAGAGTTCTCTCAAATGTTTTGTGAGACCCATGGAAGTAAGTAATGAATGTTAATAGGAACCAAGGAGACTAAATATCTACAATACTATCAAAAACAGGATAAGCAAAATCAGTAGTACAAAAGTAATTTTTAAAAAACACATCTAATCTTGCAGGACTTTTTTTAATTGCCACTTGTATCAGAATTAGAATTTGAATAATGCGGTCATGCTTTAGCAATTATTGGCATCAGTAAAATTCTGTCGATATGAATTCTAGCAAAGCAGGAATTCTAAAGAAAGTCTAAAGACCAGGAGTTATAGACGTCTCTTCCTTATCATCTGTTTTGAACAAAGATGCTGAAAACAAAACAATTGGAACCTTGCTTGACACAAGAGGAAAATAATTAGTTAGAAGGGGCGTCAGGGGAGCAAGCAGCCTTTAATAAAAATGTAAATTAAATATCAAACCCCATGGAAATTATTTTTACATTAATTTCCTAAGCATTTTCTTCATTCCCTTTCTTACTGGTTGAGAATCAAGAACTTCTGATCCTTTACTGCTTTTCTACTAAACACCGTTACCATCCAGCATTCCACTGCCAAGTCCCTTTGTTCCCTTAGAGTTGTATTTCTTTTTAGGCTTGTCAGTCACTGAAACACAGAATCAGAAGTCAGGCAGTGGGAAGAGGCTTGAGGAAGGCAGACAGGGTGGGAAGCCAGGAGCCTCCATCTTCCCTTTCCTGAGCCACAGGGTAGCTTGTTCCTGCACAGCCTTATCATCCTCCTGCCTTCAGCCCAACAGAAACTGCTTTTGAAGGTTCCCTGTCG